TGACACTTTTGAAGCATCAGGGGGAGGGTGGGGGGGGATACCATGGGAACGCGGAGCGCAGACGCACATAGACCCCAAAAAAATTAGAATCCTTGTTATGGGGACCCTCCTCAAAATCTTGCCCCTACCTTTGGAAAATCCCAAACCCTGAACCCTATATAACCATTATAAAAACACCGTGGAACCCTGATAATCCCCTTATAGGTACCCCCCTTATCATCCCGGGTGTTTCTTCGTTTACCGTAGTTAAAGGATGGGAGTCCTTACCCTCACTCATTTAGGGTTCAGGGTTTAGGGGTTTAGGGGTACAACCCTGAAGCTTAAACCCCAAACTCCAAACCCTAGATCCCAAAGCTTATATGCCCAAGACCCTCAAACCGAACCCCCAAATTCTAAACCCCAGACCCTGAACCCTAAATCCCGCACCCTAAACCCAACACCTTAAACCCCTAAAGCATCAAACCCTAAACCCCTAAGCCTCCAAACCCAAGACCCTGGACCCTACAAACAGAAGGAAGGCTGGATCAGGTATGGGGCCTAGGCTTTGGGGGCCTTTAGGGGTTTGGGGTTGGGGGGTTTAGGGTTTAGGGGTTTAATTTAAGGTTTTGGGGTCTAGGGGTGTAGGGTTTGGGGGTGTAGGGTTTGGGGTCTAGGAGTTTAGTGCTTTAGGGGGATCTGATATGACGAGAAGACACTGCTGTTGGGGCACTTTCTTCTGGCCAGTATCTGAGCATTCTCAAAAAGGATGGCCCCGTACTCGGTCCAGAGTAAAAAAATGGGGACGAAACTATTTATAACTCAGTTAGAATCACATTAGGGGACTCAGGGAGCTTTTATCTGGGTTATTTATAAGTTATAGTCTGTTTAAAATCGGCCCGGAACCTCCAAGTCCGGACCCCAAAGATATACAGTATGGGGATTATCTGTAGATGTAAGGGCGCTGGGATTATAGAGAGATGGCTTTAAGACTTCTGTGTGACTCCTAGTCCTGTTCTTTCTAGAACCTGAACTCGAAAACCTCCAACTCCTAAACCCTAACATCCTCAACTCTGAAATCCTGGGTCTTAACTTCCCAAACCTTGAGACCCTAAGCCTAAAACCCCTATACCTTGAATTCCGAAACGTCAAAATCCAATATAATCTGATTCTCTAGATCTCAGCCATGAGACACAGTCCCTCACCCAAAGCGAGACCTTCCTTGGGGTTTTCGGGTTGTAGGGTTTAGGACTTATAAGGTTTTGGGCATTAGCCCTAGCTTAGACCCGCACTGTTGAGGGTTTGGGGTCTAGAGCTAGGACATTTTACTGTAAATCCCTAAATGAAATCTTATAACTGAAGCCCTAAACCGTAAACCCTTAAGGACGTTTAAGTCCAAACTTGGGCCTCAAACCCCGAAGGACGTTTAAGTCCAAACTTGGGCCTCAAACCCCGAAGGACGTTTAAGTCCAAACTTGGGCCTCAAACCCCGAACCCTATAAACTGTTTTTTTTATAATTCCTAATTTCCCCCCCCCCCCTTATAGGGTTTATATTTGGGTCCCCCTATTTGGGGAACTACCATAAAGCCCCAAATAACCCACCGTTCCCGCGTTAGAACTCCAAAAAGCTTAGACCCTAAACCTTCAACCCTAAACCCTAAATCCTAATCCCTAAACCCTAAGCCCTAAATCTTAATCCCTAAACCCTAAATCCCTAAATATTAGTACACTTGTAAACCTTCAACCCTAAATCCGAACCCTAAACCAAGCATGAGGACCCCTGCAGTAGCTAGCGGGCGCAGTGCGCACGCAAAAGACGTGCGGAGCCCGCCAATGGAGAGGCTGGGTTAGGGTGTAGGGTTTAAGGTTTAGGTTGTAGGGTTTAGGGTTTAGGGTCTAGGGTTCAAGGTCAGGTTTTCGGGGTTAGGGCCGAGTGCAGATTTAGGGCAACAAGCATCAACCTCAGGGCCTTGGGAGCCACAACGGAACCATTCACCCTAAAGCCGCTTCATATTTGGGCTTTAAGACCTGGCAATTGCACGTAATGACACCTCTTGCCAGATGAGGTATGGGTTTATGGCGAACGTTTTTTTCTTGGGAATATTTGGTGTGTGTGTGTGTGTTTTTGTTGTGTCAGCGTTGGCCCGACCAATCTACCATATCTAGGCTAGCAATATCCTTCTGGTACTTACGTTTGGCGTTGGTTTTTGTCACTTCCAGCATAGGGATGAAGTCACCATCTCTACGCCCTTTGGGGGGCATGCTCACAGTGAGTCCACCCTGATCTTCTGTTTATTCACTTGGCAGTGCTTTGCCGCTACAATCCCAGCTTTAGCAACGTAATCCCTAAACCCTAACCCTAGACCCTTAACCAGCCCCAAACCCTCAACCCTAAACCCTAAACCTTCTAGCCCCACGTGTCTGATGCCCTCTCATCTGAAGGCTCGCAATGCATAGGGTACTTGGGTAAGAGGCGTTAGTCATAGCATCATTCATGCGGTGAGAACCAATAGAAATGGAGAGAGCGAGAGGGAGATAGAGAGAGCGGGACCGCGCGGCACATGTAGAAACAGAAGGAAAAGAAGAGGGTTTAGGATTTGGGGTTTGGGGTTTAGGGTGAAACAACACTGCCACCTAGAGTAGCTTACGCATTCGCCGCGTGCGAGGGCTCGGCAATTAAAAAAGAGCAAGATCTTTCTTTGTAGCTGATTACTCCAGCAGTTGATGCTATACGAAATCCTACGTGACCCTAACCCTAAACCCTAAGCCTTCAACACCTAACCGAACCTAACCCCTAAACTCTGAGCCCTGAATGTTGAAGCCCCAACCCTTAAACTGTTACATGCGGGATATGTCTATGACGCCAGAGCGCGTGTTCGTTATCTCCACCCTACTAAGCCTCTCAATCTAAGATAAACCCCCCCACCCCTAACATTAAATATGGCTTCCACTACTATATGTTGTGGCCATGGTCAAGAACAGGGGTGGGGCGGGGGGGGTTGCTTCGCTTCATATCAGTAGGAAGGGATCCAAACCGAATGAGGAACATACCATTCGCAGTTGACCGATAAGGGGCCAGTTTCGGTTCCCGTCTACAAAAAAGGAATCCATTGCCCATTTGTAGAAGCATGAAGCCCTAGACCCTAAGCCCCAAGCCACCCAAATCCCTAATCCCTAAACCTCAAACTCTGGCTGTGGATTGAACTTTCTCTGGCCTTGCATTTTGGTTTCTGGCTGACCGTACGAGCAGCTGGAAAAAGGTCCGCCAAAAAAAAACTCAAACTCTAAACCCTAGTCCCTAGACCTCAAACACTAAACCCTAAGCCCTAAACCCTAATCCCTAGACCTCAAACCTTTAAACCTAACCGCTAAACCCTAATCCCTAAACCCCAGACCCGGAACCATAAGTCCTAAAGCCTACGGCCGAATCTCTGTTCTGATCAGATTTCCGCTTCTTCCTGGTGCGAGCAGCGTCCTAAGCCTTACAGAGGCCACAGTAAGCCACAGGCTTAGGGTTTAGGGTTTAGGGTTTAGGGCTTGGGATTTAGTTATTCATCCCCTTATCCTGGTGTGGTATACAATAACAGGTTGGAAACATGCGACATTAGGGGGTTTAGGAGTCTTACTATCAGAAGGTGGGGAGTATGATTCAGTGTCTGGGGTTAAACTCATTACGCTTGATACTAACCTGCCAAGTGATAACGCCCACACCCCTTCAAAACCCCAAACTCCTAAACCCTAGAACCCTAATCCCAAACCCTAACCCTAGACCCTAAACCCTAAACCCTAAACCCTAAACCCTAAATCCCAAACCCTAAGCTCTTATTTCCAATGGCGGGTTCATACAGAAACGGGTCCCAGATTGGCTTAGCTTGAGATCTGGAACTCATGTTTAGGGTTTAGGGTTAAGGGTTTAGGGTGCAGAACTAAAATCCTTCATGACCCTAAGCACCACATACCTTGGTAATTATGGTGTTCTAGTCATGCAGCAGTTTTTTTTGTTTTAGTAGTAGGTGTCAGGTTGGGATGATTATGAAATTGCCCTTTCGCATGGAAAGGGTACCTGTTCATACTGATGTTTGGAAGCCCGAGTCAGGTCTCGCGTTTCTGACCAGCTTGCTATGTCCTAGGCATTCAAGTCCAAAAAGATAATTTCTGCCAGTTTCAGTATTAGTATTCAATATGGATATCTTATCGTTGAGCACCAGAAAGCCAAAACCCTAAGGTTCAGGGTTTATGTTTTATTGATTTCCATGTTCTTTTCCCTTCCCTACTGAACACCACAGAGTGTGGTTGATTCTTGAACTCCTTTATGACCCTAAGCATCCTTTTCCTAAATCCTAAGCCCTAAACCTCAAACCCCAAACCCTAAACTGTAAACTATGAGGGTTCAGTTTTTGCCGAGTAAAGGTTGGGGCTTTAGGATCTAGGGTTTTGGAGCGAGGGTTTAGGTTTAGGGTTTTTTTGAACCTCGAGCAAAGAGCTAAACCTCGCTTGGGTTTAGGGTTTAGGGTCCTAAACCCTAAGCCCTAAACCCCAAACCCTAAACCCTGAACCCTAAACCCTGGTGAGTTTGAGTGATGACTCTTTCAAAACCATCATGC